GGATCAAAGCAGATTAGAATCATTTTCTCACTTGTCTAATAGTTAATACCTGAAAAACTGATTGGATGGCTGTATGATCCCTCTAGTTTAGGTAAGATGGACTAAACGATTAGATCGGCCCTACAGTAGTCACTAAATTGAATCAGCACTGGCTTCTCATTTTGGCTGTGTTATCACCATGTGATCATATGATTTCTAGAGAGGTGTCTATTGCCCTAAATTCTGCATTATAGGTGTGTAATAAAGAATATGGCTGACCTCTATCTTTGGTTCTAGGAAGGTAGTCTGTAAACTTTTGGAGTTTCTCAAGTGGGAGGGGTGTCTTCGTTATTCACAGTGGGCCCCCTTGACCACACCTGATAGTTTATGGAAATGAAATGACTCAAGGTGGGCCCCTGAAGAGTTTATGCTAAGGAGACAACCCAGGATGTAGGCTGACTGTGCCAGAGAGACCAAACATGTGATGAGAAAGTTGGAGTTTTGAGTCAGCAGTGTTAGCTCAACTTCTGGGAAGAGATGAAGGGAAAAAATGAGTTCAGTAACAGGGCTATGATTCAATTAATTGTGCCTATGTAATGAAACCCAAATAAAAACTCTGGCCGCCAAAGCTTGGGTGAATTTCCCTGTCTGGCAATGTGAACACAAATTGACACACACTGATGTTGTAGGAGGAAAAAGCTTTGTGTTTGGGACCCTCCCAGACCTCCTATTTCTCTTCCTTTGGCTGGTTCTGATTTATGTCTTTTTGCTGTAATAAAACTATAATCATAAGTGAAGGCTGGGCATGGTGGCTCATACCTGTAATCCCAGCACTTTAGGAGGCTGAAGTGATCTGTTCACTTCAGCCTCCCAAAGTGGTCAACATGGTGAAACCCTATCCCTACTAAAAATACAAAATTAACTGGGGATGTTGGCATACACTGTAACCCAGCCACTTGGGAGGCTGAGATGTGAGAACTTCTTGAACCAGAGGTTGCAGGGAGCTAAGATCTCACCATTGCACTCCGGTCTGGGCCATAGAGTAAGACTCTCTCTCTAAAAAAAACAATATGTCCTGCTGGCAAGATGGCCAAATTGGAACAGCTCCGGTCTGCAGCTCCCAGCAAGATCGACACAGAACATGGGTGATTTCTGCATTTCCAACTGATGTACCTGGTTCATCTCACTAGGACTGGTAGGACAGTGGGTGTAGCCCATGGAGGGTGAGCCAAAGCAGGGTGGGGTGTTGCCTCACCTGGGAAGCACAAGGGGTCAGGGGATTTCATTCTCCTGGTCAAGGGAAGCCGTGAGGGACCATATAGGGAAGAAGAGTGCATTCCGGCCAGATACTGCACTTTTCCCATGGTCTTCACAACTGGCAGACCAGGAGATTCCCTCCGGAGCCTATCCCACCAGGGCCCTGGGTTTAAAGCACAAAGCTGGGCAGCTGTTTGGGCGGACACTGAGCTAGCAGCAGGAGTCTTTTTTCATACCTCAGTGGTACCTGGAATGCCAGCGAGACAGAACTGTTTACTCCCCTGGAAAGAGGGCTGAAGCCAGAGAGCTAAGTGGTCTGGCTTGGTGGATCCGACTCCCACAGAGCCCAGCAAGCTAAGATCCACTGGCTTACAATTCTCACTAATAGCACAGCAGTCTCAGGTTGACCTGGGACACTCAAGCTTGGTGGGGGAAGGGGATTCCGCCATTGCTGAGGCCTGAGTAGGTGGTTTTACCCTCACAGTATAAACAAAGCTGCAGGGAAGTTCAAACTGGGCAGAGCCCACCACAGCTCAGCAAGGCCACTCCTGCCATACTGCCTCTCTAGATTCCTCCTCTCTGGAGAGGGCATCTCTGAAAAAAGGGCAGCAGACCCAGTTAGGGACTTATAGATGAAACCCCCATCTCCCTGGGGGAGAGAATCGGGGGGAAGGGGTGGTTGTGGGCACAGCTTTGACAGACTTGCCTCACAGCTCTGAAGGGAGTAGCAGATCTCCCAGCACAGCATTCAGGTTCTGATAAGAAAGAGACTGCCTCTTCAAGTGGGTCCCTGACCCCTGTGTATCCTTACTGGGAGACACCTCCCAGTAGGGGCTGACAGACGCCTCATACAGGAGAGCTCCAGCTGGCATCCCAGAGGTATGCCTCTGGGACGAAGCTTCCAGAGGAAGGAACAGGCAGCAATCTTTGCTGTTCTGTAGCCTCCATTGGTGATACCCAGGCAAACAGGGTCTGGAGTGGACCTCCAGCAAATGCTAGCAGACCTGCAGCAGAGAGGCCTGACTGTTAGAAGGAAAACTAACAAACAGAAAGGAATAATATCAACATCAACAAAAAGGATATCCACTCAGAGACCCCATCTGAAGGTCACCAGCATCAAAGACCAAAGATAGATAAATGCACAAAGATGGGGAGAAACCAGTGCAAAAAGGCGAAAAATCCCAAAAACCAGAATGCCTCTTCTCCTCCAAAGGATCACAGTTCCTCTCCAGCAAGGGAACAAAACTGGATGGAGAATGAGCTTGACAAATTGACAGAAGCAAGCTTCAGAAGGAGAGTAATAACAAACTCCTCTGAGCTAAAGGAACATGTTCTAACTCAATGCAAGGAAGCTAAGAGCCTTGAAAAAAGGTTAGAGGAATTGCTAACTATAATAACCAGTTTAGAGAAGAACATAAATGACCTGATAGAGCTGAAAAACACAGCATGAGAACTTTGTGAAGCATACACATGTATCAATAGCTGAATCAATCAAGTGGAAGAAAGGATATCAGGGATTGAAGATCAACTTAATGAAATAAAGTGAGAAGACAAGATTAGAGAAAAAAGAGTGAAAAGAAACAAACAAATCCTCCAAGAAATATGGGACCATGTTAAAAGACCAAATCTATGTTTGATTGGTGTACCTGAAAGTGATGGGGAGAATGGAACCAACTTGGAAAACACTCTTTGGGATATTATCCAGGAGAATGCCCCAACCTAGCAAGGCAGGCCACCATTCAAATTCAGGAATGCTGCTGAGAGATCATTCAAGTGCTTAAAAATTGCCCAGAGCCCGTGGAGAAACAGGAACACTTTTACACTGTTGGTGGGAGTGTAAATTAGTTCAATTATTGTGGAAGACACTGTGGCAATTCCTCAAGGATCTAGAACCATAGATACCATTTGACCCAGCAATCCCATTACTGAGTATATATACCCAAAGGATTATAAGTCATTCTTCTATAAAGACATGTGTTCATGTATGTTTGTTGCAGCACTATTTATGATAGCAAAGACTTAAAACCAACCTAAATGCCCATCAATGATAAACTGGGTAAAGAAAATGTGGCACATATACACCATGGAATACTATGCAGCCATAAAAAGGGATAAGTTCCTATCCTTTACAGGAACATGGATGAAGCTGGAAGCCATAATGCTCAGCAAACTAACACAGGAACAGAAAACCAAATGCTGCATGTTCTCACTCATAAGTGGGAGTTGAAGAATGGGGACACATGGACACAGGGAGGGGAACATCACACACAGGGGCTTGTCAGGGGATGAGGGGCTAGGGGATTGAGAACATTAGGACAAATACCTAATGCATGTGGGGCTTAAAAGCTAGATGATGGGTTGATGGGTGCAGCAAACCACCATGGCACATGTATACCTACATAACAAACTTGTATCCCAGAGCTTAAAGTTAAAAAAAAAAAAAATGCCCAGAGCATGGGAAGGCCTCCATTAGTTATTCTTATTCTCCATTGAGCTCTGTCAATAGAGGCAGCATAATGTACTCTAAAATGCATAGGCTTGGCATAGGGACAGACCTGAGCCTTAAATTCTCTCCCTGTCACTGCCTTGCGAGATGTTTAGCTTCTCAGTGCTCAATTTTCTCATCAACAAAATGGAGCCACTGACATTTGCAGTATTATCCCAAGGCATAAAAACTATATAATTTAAGTCCCTGACCCATGGTAAGTGCTCGGTAAGAGGTAGCTATGATTACTGGCTCTGCTGGTTGATGTTTATAACCAATGAGCTGCCTGCTAAAGTGCATGAGTCAGAGGAATGAGGGTGGGAATGGAAGTTCAGTAGTGGTATTGGTGAGCCTGTACTTGGAGTGCCTGAACCTCAAAGAAGTCCTAAAGGTTAGGTTTCGTTGCTAAGGGATTGGAAGTAGGGAAGAAGGGAGAGGCCTCGTGCCTTTCTTGAAGATGCTCCCACAGAGCAATGTGGGTGGGCAGGGGGAGGTGGCTAGAACCAGCAGCTCAGGGTTGTCTCCAGGAAGGTGAAATTCATTGCTATTCTCTACAATAGGCTTTGTTATTTATGTGTCACACTGTTTGTTTATTGAATAGGTATTTGACAGAAGTATACTCAGCAGAGCACATCAGCGGGGATGGTGTTTTACCAGCAAATAAATTAGAATCATGGAGTTAGCTAAGGCATAACTAAGTACATGGCATAAATATGTCATTTGGCCATTATGAATTCATTCATGTATACGAATCTTTAATGCAGCTCTATCAAAGCTTTAAATGAAATATTCTCTTTATATCAGGCCTGTATTTTAATTACAGGCAGGAATAATATTAGTGCATCCTCCAGGAGCTGTGAAAGTTGGCTAGTGCACTGTGTGACAGCTTCTCTCCAAGGCCTCAGAGCATGCCCAGCCCCAGCGCAGGCCAGCCCCCAGCAGCACACCTGACCTCTCCTTTTCCTTCCTCTCTCAGCCCTGCTTCTTTCTCCTCCTGTTGCAGTAGCGCATTGGAAGGCAGAGGGAGAAATGGGAGTGCAAAGCAGGGGAGGACAGACAGCAGGCTAAGGTCCTGGGGCTCAGCCAAGGCATGCGAGGGGAATAAGGTGCTGGGATCAATGGAGTCCCCTGGGAGTCCAAGGCAAACATTTCCAAAGTGCTCTTGACTGACACTTCAATTCCCCATTCCCTGCTGAGAAAGCTTGCTTTCTAAGACTTGCATTTGAAAGGACAGTTACCCCCTCCCACTGACCTTTGCCTACTTTTTTTTTTTTTGCAGGGAAGAAAGGAGGAAAAAGAACTTAAGAAAGTAAAGAAAGAGACTGTCACAGTGACCATTCCTCTGCTATCAATCATTGGTGGCGGTGGAGGAGGTGAGTGGGGAGAGACCAGGAGGGGTGCAGGAAGGTCCCAAGCTGCTTGTGGAAGAGCTGAAAGTTTCCATTTCTATTCAAATATTATTAGCATGATGGGAAAGAGCCATTTCCCAAGCTTTCTTACAAGTGATTTTCACCAGGAATGCAGCTTCATGTGCTGTTTCTTTTCTTTCTCTCTAACTCTCACTAGTGCCACACACATCTTAATCATGTATCTTGTCGCCGGCAACCTAGGATTATTATTTTTTTTCTTGACCAATTTATACTGATTGTGTGGGAGGTTCACAAGATATGGTGGATGGGGGGCGGGGGGTTGTGGCCGTGGGTGGATTTTCAGAAATCCCTACACTAAATGCCTCATCTCTGATGTAGGTCTTCAAACAACTCAAAGGTTCTAGGGTCAAAGAGTCAAGTTTGCTATTATTTGGAATCAGTGTTCTTAGGAATCATTCTCCCCTCCCTCCTGGATCCCTCATTTTCAGATAATGTAAGATAACTTGAAGGCTCCCAGAAAAAGAAACCATCTCTAATAAATTTCTGTTACTCAACGTTTTTTTTTTTTTTTTTTTTTTTTGCATGTAGGAAGTAGAAAGAAAGCAAAACGTATTTCAATAATCACCATGGTTTGCCTGGAACCCAGGGCTTGCTGGGTGAGGGAAGGCAGAGAGGGTTGGGAAAAAGGCACCTTGATCTTGGTGGCATCAAACCCACTCATCATCACACTCTTCCATGTCCCAGTGGAATGATTGTACCTATTTTATTTTTGACACTGGACATGGCAAATGTATTCTTTTTCGTATCTTGTATTTATAGCAACATGTTATTTACATGATATTTAAAAGGTGTTTCGAATCATTGAGTGGGGAAGTTTTAGAATGGAGTATGACCTTAGACGACATCTTGTTCACTTCTTCACTTTCCAGAAGAGGAAACTAAATATGGAGAGCATGGTCTTAAGTAAGAACAGATACTGAGTGAGTGGCAGAAAAAAGGAATAAGCTCAACAGAGAACAGACAATTGCCCAGAAGACTACTATAAACGGGCACGTGGTAAATACCTACAGATGACCTTGCCCACTCCATTATTTTAATTCATCAGCAAACACACTCTTTGTAGCAGGGCCTGGGGACACAGAGAGCCATCCCTGGTGGATTTCCGGACGTGTGTGCTTAGAGGAAAAATGATAGGCGCAAAGTGTCATTTCTAGAAGAGAAAAAAAGATGGTGATTTTTATCATTCTTGTTTTCTTTTTGCTTTTATTTTTGAGATGGCGTCACTCTGTTTTCTAGGCTGGAGTGCAGTGGCATGATCATGGCTCACTGCAGCCTCAAACTCCTGGTCTCAAGCAATCCTCCTGCCTCAGCATCTTGCGAGCTGAAACTACAGGTGTGCACCACCACTCTTGGCTAATTTTAAAATGTTTCTTTTGTAGAGACGAGGTCTCACTATGTTGACCAGGCTGGTGTTGAACTCCTGGCCTCAAGTGATCCTCCCAAAGTGTTGCGATTACAGATGTGAGCCACCGTGCTTAGCTATTCCTGTTTTCAGATGGGAAAACCAAGGGTCAAATTGTCTTTTTTAGACATTCAGTGGAACTTAATATGGACTGTAAGTTTCTATGAGTCTGGGTTATTTGGGGTGCCAATGCAGAGAAATGTGTTAACAACGCTCTGTAGTTTCCATTTCAGCCTCGTCTATCCAGGAGCAGTTAGAATCTAGGGCTCCTCTGAGTGCCATGGTCAGATGGGGATGGGGAACAAGCTAACATGAGGGAGAAGATCTTAATGAGAATAGAGGGAAGAGAGGCAACCCCTGGCAACCACTGTTCTGTTCTCTGCTCCTGTGAATTTGACTTTTTTCAGATTCCACATGGAAGGGAGATCTTGCACTATTTGTCTTTCTGTGCCTGGTTTATTTCACTTAACATAATATCCTTCATGTTCATCTATGTTATTGCAATTGATTGGATTTTCTTTTTATGGCTGAAAAACATTCCATGGTTTATAAGTACCATAATTTCTTTATCCATTCATCTGTCAGCGGCCACTTAGGTTGTTTCCGTATCTTGGCTATAGTGAACAATGCTGCAGTGAAGGTGCGAGTGCAGGTGTCTCTTTGATGCACTGATTTCATTCCCTCTGGGGTTATACACTTCTGGGTGTACACTGGATTGTTTGACAGTTCTATTTTTATTTTTTGCGAAAAGTCTGTACTGTTTGCCATAATGCCTGTAAGAGGAAAAGATTTCTAAGTAAGCCTTAGAGTGAGCAGCTCATGTCTCCCAGCAGCCCAAGCCTGTATCTCTCCTGGAGGTCTCCAGCCTCTAGCATTTCACACTATGGGTAACAAAGGAGAGGGCAGAGGTACTCAAGGTGTTTCAATAGGGGCTTCTGCAGTGTGTGTGTGTGTGTGTGTGTGTGTGTGTGTGTGTGTGTGTGTTTTGAGTGACAGCTGCTAGCTTAAAGAAAGAAAGTTGATTTCAATTTAAATTTCTCCCTGGGGTTACAGGAAGCTTCATTTTTGGTAGTGGGTGTGGCTGTGCCACCACCGAGGTTTACAATTGCCATAGATCCAATTCTAGTGTAAACCACTGAGCTCTGGGGGTTTTCTTTTGCTGCTAGATTGAGCCAGTGACCTCAGAGGGCATTGTGACGTGGAGAGTGAGCTGTGAAGTGAGACTTGACCAAAAGTTGCTGATGCTGGTTCTGCTGACAGGAGACTGTGTTCACATCTCAGTGGATGAACTCAGGGAGAGGAGAGCAGAGCTGAACTGAGATCCTTTACAACTTGCAGGCACTAAACCTCTTAAATCATCATTGAAAAGTCATTACAAATCTGGCAGAAGAGCATGGTACGGATTGCCAAGAGACGGCACAAAACCCCATTTTCTCTCCACAATACCTGTAATGAACTGGAAGGGCTAGGGTGGAGCTGAAAAACAGATTTCCTGCCATAACTAAAGTCTCTTTCAGCCTGGTTTGCCACAGTTTTATAATGTGTTAGAATTTACATTCACATGTTTGTTAACCATTCTTCAGCGCAGTGAAACGTTTTATCTGTCTGACCTCAACCTTTACCATATGGTGCCACAAACTGTTGAGCTGCAGTCACACCGTGGGCGGTGGGGGCTGGGGGTCAGCGGGCCTGCAGCAGCACATTCAGTCCAGGCCTCAGTGGGACTCTGTGACAGGAGTCCTGTCCCCACTTCAGGGAGGCCATTCCCACAAATTCGTTTAAAAGGCAAAAATGCCCTTCATGAGCATGTGTTTTTTGCAGTTGCTAAGATCTGTGTCACGACTGGTGCACATTTTCATTGGAAAAGTTAAAGGAATATGTGGGTCACTTGCAGCAGATGTTAGATCTATCACTTGACCATTTTTCAGGACCAGAAGCCTTGAGATGTGAGCTCACCTTGGGATTTGGGACAGCGCCTTCTACCCTCTGAGGCTTAGTACATATTAGCTTTCTAGAACAATGAGAACAAGTGTCCCGAGACAGGAGCAGCTGGCTCACCTGTTTTGAGGAGCAGGAAGAGGACTTAGGGAGTCAGTCTCTCAATAGTTAACCCAGGCGAACTGTCCTTGATGCAGGACAAATTCAGTTAGGGAAAATTAAATATTTCCTTGAGTGTGAAGCACTGATGAGGAAAGAGAGAGATAATTAATTATTTGATTATTTGAGGCCAGGGACAGAGTGGTTTTAGAAGAGCTCTAAGTCTTATTGATTCATTACAAGGCCACGGGGACAACCAGAGACGCTTCAGCTAATGCCAGTATGAATGTCCTATGAAAGACACACCCAACAAAGCCTTAGAGTCACAGGCCATAATATACATTCATTTCCTCCCCAGTGTCCTACCTGGACAGGGGTATACTCAAACTGTCACAGGAAGATTTTATCTTATTCCCAAAGATCTCCCACAAGAGACAGACATATAGATTCCTTTCTATCCTTTTCATCTTAATTGTCTTTCTCTGCTGGCATTTATTATCTTGACTCTGCTCAGGTGTGGGGCAGTGCCACCACTCTGTTTATTAGTGCTGAGAGTTTAGGGTAACTGACCTTTGGAGATGGCTCTTAGTCTTATAATTGTAGGTCTCTGTGGCTATGCGTTCATTCGACAGGTCCATGTTGACTGCTTACTAAGAATCAGGTGCTGATGAACAGCAATGCTTAAAATGGATCAGAAGCCCTGACTTTACGTTCGGGTGATACGCTAGGCTTCCTGTAGTTTGAACAAAGTACAAGCCATCTTTGATTTCATAGCAAGAGAATTTTGCGGCATACTGTGTGAATGTATGCACCTTTCCCTATTTTCTTAAGGGCACTTAAGAAAATTGGCCACTACATCAGCAAGTATGTATCATATACTGACTATGCGCATGATCTAGGGACTTTGGAAGCATCTGTGTGGTGCTACGTTGGGCCCACCAAGATTACATAAAACCCTCACGATCTCCTACCCTCTAAGGATGAACACAGACAACAGAGCTCAGGGCCCACTATGAGCTCACACATCAGTTCCTTAAGTTAGTTCAAGAACTCTACTTGTTCCATCTTTTTTCAACAATTTCCTTCACTCTGGCTTGACTGAAGTGAACACTACTCTCACGGCCTCCAAGCTGGAATCTAACTTCTTATGTGGAACTTTCATTAGCTCCCAGCAGGAGCATTGCCTAAAGCTTTTTTTTTTTCCCTCCCAGTGCTTGGCTCTGCAAACCTCTTTTTCCTTTAATTGATCAATTTTCCTGTTCAGAAATAGATATAATCAGATATATGGCTTAGTAGCCTCTCTGAAAAAGCATTAGCTCTGTCTACTTAGACAGGCATTAGGTTTGACACCCCGAGGTTGCTTTTCTTTTTCAAGAAAAATTAAGTGACTAAGTAAGAGGGTGCTAAAACAAAGTTGTATTACTGCTTGGCATTTAATTGGGAAACTTGCTAATGTGTCCTTTGAACTCCTGGTTTTCCCTTTCCCTGAGGAATTGCTGATACT